GATAATAAATAAGTAGGAATCTGTGATAACAAATCATGCACATCTTATGATATTGCTATTATAAATTTTCATGGATTACAAAGTTTTGCAAAATTATTTTCTAACCCCGCTCATGTAAGCATCACGATTCATCAGATAAGCATTCTAATATATTAAGCAGCACCTAACGCAAACATTGCTCATTTCTCAATATTTCGAAGGATACTCTACTAGAAAAAATACTTAATCTTTTGATTGGATAATCTAGATATCTACAAATGCACAATACCAAAAAAGTTAAAATCTTCGATAAATTTGAGTATGAACAATTAAGAGAAAAACTTTTTCTTCCAAGTGAAGAGATTTTCAAACAGGATCTCTGCCAAGCAAAGAAATTTCAAAGAAAAAACATATGTACCAACGTTCTCTAACATGAATCTTGAGTAAACAATTCATCCCTATGAATGAATTCACGACAAAATAAAATGCACATGTCGATTTCATAGAATATGGAGGAGGAAGAAATCAAAGAATGAATATACTGATAATTAAATCTAGAGAGGATGAAGGATTGTATGTGGACACAATCACCCCTCTCTTCACCAGCAAGGGAGTTTTTTTCCTTTCACCACTACAGCTTCAGTCATGTTAGATTTCTTGTAAATGAAGATGTCAGGGCATTGATAAGGAGTTTTATATCCCTTTGTAAATTTATTAAAAGGGGAAACAATGAGTGGGGCATGAAGATTGTTGGAAGGTTAAGAAACATTATTTCCCATTACAAAATTGTGTGAAAATTAGATAAAAGGCTGTGAGTAAAATAAAGCCAAATAAAGTGCAATAGTATTTTTTTAAGTAATACAAAGAAAAAATCATCCTTAATGGATCTTGAAACTCGTGGCATGCATGATTTCAAGAACTTCAAGGATTGCTTGATCATTAATCAAATGTGTAAAAAATTCTTTGAATGAGTGTCTCAGATTGGATAAAAAGATATTTGAGATTCCAAAGATAAAGGTTTTCAAATTTATTAGAATTAAATGGTTGGTTGTTCGCATAGTTTAAAATTGCGCAATTAGAGGCACGGGCGCGCCTTTGCACAATTCAGCCCCCAAACGCTTCATTGCCTAAGCAATTTTGGGTTCATGTGAGGCTTACGCCTCACGGGCTAAGAGGCACGCCTCTAAGCCGCTATTATGCAATTAGAGGTGAGGCGCACGACTCTTAAAACCGAGTCCCACCTACTTAAAATTAGGTATTTCTTCTATTCTTTCATTCGGCTACTGTGGCCTATGCAATATTGAGCACGAGGCCCTTGGTACAAGTTCTACGTTTAGTGGATGTCGAGAAGAAACCAGCCATGAGTTTTATTTATAATGTTATGGATGAGGCGAAGGAATTGATTGCACATAATTTGGGAGGAGAGGAGGCAAGTTATATAGAGATTTGGGATATCATTGATGCTCGATGGGAGGTACAGTTACACCGTTATCTACATGCAACGACGTATTATCTCAATCCTCAATTTCAATATTCATAGAGGAAATCCTCAAACCCGGAGGTGAAGCTTGGCTTGTATCATATGAAGGGCGTTTGATGATTTTTTATTAGTGAAACATATGAAGAAAATTGTAATTTTATATGAGCATAAGCTAACTCATCATATTTTCTTCTTATTCTTGATGAATTTTTAATTTTCATGATAATTGATGATCATTTAAAAGATAGTAGTAAGGATTTAGTTCAAGTGAAGTGCATTAAGGATAAAAATAAAATAAAAATGCTTTTTTATTAAAATAGGATATTCAACAAAGGTGGATGAGATATTTTACTAAACTTTTTAATGAAGATTATTAAAATACGATTGACTTTAGTGACCTTAGAACCCTAAATGAAAATAAATTTTTTTGTTTTTATCGGCGTATTAGTAAAACCGAAGTTAGAGAGGCTTTAAAGAAAATGAAGTGTGAAAAAGCTGTTGGACCTTATTATATTCCAATAGAGGTGTGGACATGCTTAGTAGATGAAAGAATTTCTTGGCTTACTAAACTTTTTAATATTATTTTGAAGACTAAAAGGATGCTTGATGAGTGGAGAATGAGTGTATTGATTTTTATTTTTAAGAATAAAGGTGATGCACAAGATTGTGCGAATTATAGAGGAAATAAGTTAATGTGTCATACTTTAAATCTATGGGAGAGAGTTAAGGAGCGTAGGTTGCGGCGTGATATTAATGTTTCTCAAAATCAATTTGGATTCATGCCGGGTAGGTCTACTATGGAAGCTATACATTTTTTGAGAGTTTTAATGGAGAACTATAGAGAGAATGAAGAGGATCTACATATGATATTTATTGATTTAGAGAAAACATATGATAAAGTTCTAAGAGAAGTGCTATGGAGAGGGCTAGAAAAGAAAGGGGTTAATAATATTTATATTCAAGTCATTAAGGATATGTATGCAGAAGCTATCACTTGTGTTCAAACACAAGGTAGTTTGACAAAGTTATTTTCTATTTCAGTTGGATTACATCAACGATCAGCCTTAAACCCTTATCTTTTTGCTTTAACCATGGATGTTCTCACTTGACATTTGTAAGATGTTATACCCTGGTGTATGCTTTTTGCTTATGATATTCTTCTTATTGATAAGACAATAGGGGGAGTTGATGGTAAACCTGAATCATGGAGGTTAGCCTTAGAGTCTAAAGGTTTTGGTTTGAGTAGATCTAAAATTGAATATATGGAATGTAATTTTAGTAGTAATAGATCTAGTGGGGGATTGTGACATTAGGTGATCAAGTCATTAATAAGAGTACACGTTTTAGATATCTTGGGTCTATTGTTTAGAGTGATGATGAAATAGATGGGGATATTATTAGTATAATTCAAGTTGAATGGTTGAAGTGGAGGAATGCATCGAGCTTGTTGTGTGATAATAAAAGTCCCCCTCAAACTTATGGGAAAATTTTGTAAGATGGTGGTGAGACCTGCAATGCTTTATGGTGCTGAATGTTGGCCATTAAAAGAGAAGCATAATATTAAGTTAAGTATTATAGAGATGAGGATGCTCAGGTGGATAGTGGCTTTACTCCTAGATATAGGATGCAAAATGAGAATATACGTGAAAAGTTGGAGTAGCTCCAGTGGAAGATAAGATTTTAGCTAGAGACGCCTTAGATGGTTTGGTCACTTAAAATGGTGGCCTTCCGATGACCTGGTTATGAAAGTAGATGTATTAGGTTTGGCTTTTGTTAAGAAAGGTAGAGGTAGACCTAAAAAGACTTGGTTATAAAATTTTAGAAATGACCTTTCTTTATTAGATTTCAATGAGAATTCGACTCTTAACATGACACAATGGAGAAAAAATGATTCGTATGGTCGACCCCACGTAGTGAGATAAAGGCTTGTTGTTGTTGTTGCATGATAATTGATGAAACTTGATCCATAAGTGATTCTCATGTTCCATATCACAAATAGTGGTAAGATCTTGAGTTTGAAGATAATATTTCTAGGAGCAAAAATAAAATTAAATGGATAAAATTGCATCTACATATATACACCTTCATCTTACATTTGGAAATCATGCACTATTTGCATAGCACAATCAGCATTTTGCCTCTGTAAACGTATTTGATAAAATAAATAACAAGAACATCTAAAATAAAAAATCATCTACATCTTATAATGGTGCTTTTGGAATTTCTCATTATTTAAATTTAAAGCATTTTTACGAAAGAAAAAAAAATCTAAGTATGCCAATTTTAGCAACATGATTCTTCGGTTTAAGCATTAAAATATATTAAACACCACCTTCTATAACAAATATCACTCTTTTCTCAATATTCCATAGATGCTCTACTAAAAAATGTTTTTAAAATTTTTTGTGGATAATGTAGTTTTCTGCCAAATGCCAATGTATTATACAAAATATATTAATTTCCAATTAGTTTGAGTGAATGGATTAAGAGGGAAAACATATTTCTGCCAAGTGATAATATTTCACTGAAAAAAATATCAAACATGCAAAGACATTTCATGAAAACATCTTTACCATCCTTCTGTTAAAAATAACATTCTTTGAGTAAAACCCTATTCCCTACAAATCATTTTACAACATTAAAAACCCATGTGTTGACTTTGTGGAATGCAGAGGATGAAGAAACCAATCAGTCAACGTGCTGATAATCGAATCTAAAGAGGAGGGAGTGTCATAAGTGGACAAAGAATTACACCATCATCAAGGGATGTCCTTTTCTTTCCACAATTGCAGCTTGAGTCATGGAAAAGCTAGATCTCGTGCAAGTAAAGAAAGAACCTTACATTCCATTGTTATTCTATTAAAAATGAAAACACTCTATGGGACATGGAGGTTGCAGGAAGATTGTAAAACACTAGTTTCCACTGTAGAATTGTCTGAAAAATAGGTAGAAGATGTTGAGCTAAATAGAACCAAGTAAAATTGGAACAGTGTAACGTAAAGCAGTGAAAAACTCCCCACTATGGATCCTAAAACTAGTGGTGTCAATGTTTTTAATAACTTTTGAGATCATCAATTAGATGAATCCTCTGTTTGGGTATCTTAGATTTCAAAAGAAGAGAATTGTGATTCCAAAGCATAAAACAAGACTTGGAATTAAATAGATGGCTGTTAGGCATATTTAAAGTGCATTTGATGGGTTTTTTTTAGTGCAATATGAGTAACATCAGACTTTTAAGTGAGGTTACATATGCCATATGTTTATCTTATTTTTTCTTGTTCTTGATGAATTGTTAATTATTATGACAATTAATGAAACTTGATCCATAAGTGATTCTCTTGTTGTGGATTACAATCAAGGGAAAAATATTGAGATTGAAGACAATATAACTAGAAGCAAATCTACAATTAGGAGAAAAGTGCTTCTTGTGTGTGTACACGCACCAACACAGACACACTGGTTAGCAATTTTTTTATCAAGATGTGATGTGTTGATTGAAAAGAATAACTGACCTAGTCCGGTTCTGCATGCATTCAATCAGGCTTTGCTCTATGCTGTTGGATTGGGAAAAGGTGCAATTCCTTCTGCTGCTGCGGTCAATTGGGTACTAAAGGATGGCATTGGGTACTTAAGCAAAATATTGTTATCAAAATATGGTCGTCATTTTGATGAAAACCCTAAGGGATGGAGGTTGTTTGCAGACCTACTAGAGAATGTCGCCTATGGATTGGAGATACTGACCCCTGCTTTTCCTCAAACATTTGTTTTGATTGGGGCAGTTGCAGGGGCTGCACGTTCTGCTGCTGCTTTGATACAGGTCACACTTATTATATTTCTTTCTTTTTTTTTTTGTGGTGATTCACATGTTAATTTACATGTTCCAACCTTTACAATGTCTGTGCTATTTCCTTGATGCATATATCTATTTTGCTATGCTTTACTAATACATAATAGTTGCACCTTTGCATACTGCACCTGTTTGCTTTTGTATTTTCTTTGTAATGTTGCAGATCATGTTTGGATTGCAGAATCTGCAACGTTAAATCGTCAATTTTTGCATTGCTTTTTATTGAATATTAACAACTAATCAATTTCTTATGAAATATTATATTTAAATTACAGTTTGATGAATTTTAGATACTATATTTAGGTGGACATAGCGTAATTGCATTGCACTTCATTTACAATATCAACAACAGCAACAACAACATCAAGCCTTTATCCCATTATGTGGGGTTGGCTGCATGAATCCTTTTTCTCTATTGTGTACCCTTATGAATATTCGTTGGTGGTTTTGAGGTGTCATTTTATTGGGAAGATTTTCTGATGTTCTCATTGCCTAACCACATATACCTTCATGCGTTGTGAAGAATTCTACTTGCTGGTCTTTATCAAGCCTCTTTGTAGGTCTCTCCACGTGGGTTTCATTTTATGCTAGAGCATGATTTCTTTTTGGGACAGACTTCACTTGTCAGTCAATGGCTCATATGGACCAGTTAATTTTCTCATTTGTTTGGTGCATTTTGGCTCTTCTCATTTTGTTGGAGTCTCAATGCTCTTCTTTTGTTGTTTTGTTATGGAGTCCAAGTTCTTAATAAAAAAAAATACAAAAAGAGTTGTGCTCCTAAAGTGCTATTTTAGGAAAACGGATTTGCCTAAGACAGACACCCTAAGCTGATGTTTATGTACCCTACTTCCTAGGGGATCCAACTCCATGCTTTTCCGCAGTTATGGAATTTGCTATGAGGAGGCCAAAAAGATAACATGCAGAATAACCATAAGCTTGCAAAATACATTAGAATAACCATACATTACACATTCTCTATCATTATGTGTCCTATTTGCAAATTTAGTCACTACTAGGTTCACTGAATTATGTTTGTCGTCTAATTCAGGCTGACCCTGAAATAATTGGGATAATGTTAATGATAATGATGATGATGACGACGATTTGATTAAGGAATTGCAAATGTTGCCTGCTAATGACTTTCATTATTTGAAACTGCTACTGGACTAAATTTTAATTTTGTTTCTTCTCAGGCGGCTACAAGAAGTTGCTTCTATGCAGGTTTCGCAGTGCATAGGAATTTTGCAGAGGTAAATTAATGCATGCGGACCTTTTTCAGCTTTTCACTGCTACTTTTTCTTCATAATGAAAGCTGTCCACTAAAACAAGCATATTTATGATGCAATTTTGTTCTCTCCTTGTTTATGTCTGATCACTCCTGCCTTTGTGGGCTGTATATGTGGATGTTACAAACATAGTTTGAGATCTTTCTCTGTTTCTGCTTTTCATTTTAGTCCAAAGGTGGTGAAGTTTGGTTGTGATCTGTTGGACTGTACACTTTCAGTTGGCTTAGTTCTCATTTATCCTCTAATGTAATAGGCTGCACTGCCTGTGGGGGAGTTTGGGGTGGGGCTGGAGGGTGAGACGGGGTAGTGACGACTGCGTTAGTGGTTGTAGGAAAACTAATGTTAGTGCCTCTTTGCCTACTACAGGAAGGATTTAGACTGCATTTGGACCTGACATTAGGACCAAAGGCCTGAGTCTTCTTCGCTTTGTTTTATAGTCCCTGTAAAGGAGACGTAGTTAATAGTCTATCCTTATAGTTTGTTGTTTGCTTGTGTTCAAGCTCAATTTTATTGCTTGTGTATCTGTGCAGGTTATTGCAAAGGGTGAAGCCCAAGGAATGGTAAGCAAGTTTCTTGGCATCATGCTTGGGATAACCTTGGCTAACTGCATTGGTTCTTCCACGCCAATGGTTCTTGCTTCTTTTGCTGCTGTAACTGCAGTCCACATGTATTGCAATATTAAATCATATCAGTCAATTCAACTGAGGACGCTGAATATTTATCGTGCAAGTAAAATCTTTGTCATTCCTTCAATTTTCTGAGTAATCGTAAATCTTTTTTTTTTGTTGCATTTGCAGAAGCTGCTCCATTTCCTAGTGCATGTGATTATTAGTGTACATTTTGTTTATTCTGCAAATGGAAAGTTAATTCTTGAATGAAGTGCTTAAAAGGATAGAAGTATTACTTTCTATTGTTCTCTATACACCTTTGATGTGAAATTTTGATGCAGAACATCTTAGGATCTCGGGCTTTCTAAGAAAAATATAAGATGAGATGCATATAACCATACACCCAAGGTTAAATTTATAGTCCAAAAAATTTAATTCAGAAAAAAAATTCTTTCTTGATGTAAATAAAAGTTGCGTAGAATTTGCCCCAAATAATAATTTAATATATTGAAATATAAAATTGCAATAAATTCAAGATAATGAAATTAACATGGTGATAAAAAATCACACCGCACAAGATTTGACTACTTAAAACCCAGATTAGTAAGAAGCTAAATGGAAAAAAAAATACCAAATAAGAGATCAATTCCTCACATCAGTGTAAGGGGATGTCTTCTTATAGACATTGTCTATCAACACTTGCAGTACATTCAAGTATTTGACATTCAATCAGCATACATGTTTGAGAGGAAAGCTTGAATTTTATTAACCAATTATTATTTTTCACATGCCTCGGTATCTCTTTTTATAATCACTGTAAAACCCTTGTATCAGTAGCCTCCTGAATCCAAAACCTGAATTCTTGATATTTGCTATAGCACGGATATAGTGAGTTACGATAAATCAGATCTATAATATCACTTGGATCATAAAGGACTTCACTTATTTGGAACTTGCGTTATCATGATTCCCAAAAATATTGGAGCTGGCATGGAACCTAGCCACAAGCAACAATGAATAAACAGCTTCAACACTGAAAATCAACACCTCAAGAAATAACAATCATCCCCATGATTACATTAAGAAGGAGAGTCGTCAGCACAAACAGTAGCAAAACCAGAACTAGAAGTGAACTAAACATGCACATAAAATCATAAAACCAAAGTGAAAATAATCAAATCAACGTGGACATTAGATAACACATTCTCCATATGGACCATCATCATACATGTTTAAACCAAAAACAACTAAAAATAAAATTAAAAACTAAAAATGGAGGGAGAGACTGGATAGAGAAAATTAGATATAGAGAGGGGGAGAGAAAGAATGTTAGAGAGAGAAAGAGAGATAGTTAGAAGTAGAGAGAGAAAGAGAGTGAGAGTTAGAAGTAGAAAGAGAAAGAGAGGAAAAGGTTGGGAGAGATAGAAGTACGTAGAGAAAGGGAGTCATGTGAACCTGACTTTGCACATGTAACCCCAGCCCGAGCATCAACCTTCCTCTCTCTCGTCCTCCCTATACCACACTATTCGATCCAACCTGCTCAAATCCGCTCCCACTTCTGTGTGATCCAAGGTATAAAGCATGAAAACCTGCGCTAGAGTATCTTTGATCAGGACAAGATTTTTAATTTGAAGACCCCACGTAGTTGTATCTTTGATCCCGGTGGGTTGATTTTTAATTTGAAGAGTTCTCGCCGTCGTATCTCAACGACAAGTTCTTTTTGGAACCTCCCTCCCTGGGTAGGGGGAGCCGGAAGGCTACCGGATTTTTTTAAAAATTTTGTATTTTTAAATCCCATACTAAATAAAATTAATTATAAAGCAACATGTACCTACCTATTTGAAGACATACGTTGTTGTATCTTTTATCCGGGAGGGAAAGTTCAATTTGAAGCCTCTACGTCCTTGTATCCTTTGATCTGGGCGGGAAGAATTCAATTCGAATACCTCACGCCATTGTATCTTTGATCCGGGTGAAATGAACAACGGCAAGTGCTATCTCAATCTCCCTTTGAGGAGAGGGGTGTTGAATGGCTGCTAGATTTTTGAAGAAAATTTTACGTTAAAAAAATTAAAATTATGTAAAATTAATTTTAAGTAACAGTTACATCCAATTTGAAGATTGATAGGCCAGTTCCTCCTGAACCGGCCCGTCCAGGGCCGGTTTTAGTTTATAGGAGGCGGGCTAGTCCCGCCTCCTCTATGCTTGCCGCCCACAATAATGGGTCCCACTATTCCAATTGAGTTCAAATTAGAAAAGGAGGGGGCGGCTAGGGCTTTGGAGGGAAAACTGATTTGGAAGGTTTATGTATTAAATAACATGAGGTGTTTTAGGGTTAGGGTTATGCTTGATTTGATTTCTCTTGAAGTTCCTTGGCATCTTGGGCTCTAGACTATCTTGTCTAGAGATTGGGAGAGACGATCCTCCTCTTGAATTGAGGATCACTTGTATCTTGTTTTCGTGTTTTTTTGGCTTAGATTCTCTTATTGCAATCCATTGTTTTGGGGTTGATTTCACCCAGATTTTTGCATTATTCTCATTGTTTTTACCAATTAGTGATTGGTTTGCTTGCGAACTCAAGTATTTCCTATCAGAGCGTTGTTTTGGGACCATTAGCAGTTGAAATTCTGCAACTTCAACTGTGTAATTTCATCCGGAAGAAGATCTTCTCATAAATCGTGGGAAGAGTTATGACCGAGAAGAAGGTTAAAGTTTTGGAAGGAGAATTGGGCAATTAAAATTAGATTTGGATGGAAAATTTTTTTATTTTCAAAATTAGATTTCATCCAATAATGAAAAGTTGGAAGGGAAGTACGTCGTGATGGAATTCTACCACAGAGGTACTGAATTTGAAAGAATAAGAAGGAAATTTGAAGAAGGGGTTGGGTATGATCGCCGGAGGGAAGATCGTGACAACTGAGGAGCATCTCCTCTTCATGGAATGTGAGGATATGGAGGTTTCAAGGGCAATGAGGGTGACCCGAAGGTGAGGAAGCTGAAGATGCTCATCTTTGAGGGCGAGGATGACCATTGTTGCATTTACAAAGTAGAACGATATTTCTCTGTCAACAGATTGACGGAGCAAGAGAAGCTGACAGTGGAAAGACTATATTTGGAGGGGAAGGCACTGGCGTGGTACCAAAGGCATGACATGAGGCAACCCATCAGGAGCTGGAGGGAGTTCAAAGATTGCTTACTTGAACATTTCTGAATCGGTAGGGGAGGAGACTTCTATGAGTAATTCTTTGCCTTAACACGAGGGAATCGTGACAGGTTCTAGTACTTGGCCGGCAGATTTGACCAACTATCTGAGACAGTATTGGAGGGGAACTTTATGAAAGGGCTTAAATCGGAGACACGGACAACGGTTAGAGTGATGAGGCCAAGAGACTTGGGGGAGGCCATTGAGCTAGCTCAGCTGGTGGAGGATCAAAAGCAGCTGGAGAGAGATGCTAGGGGGAGAAACTTGGGGGGATCATATAGGATGACCACCACCTTCTTAGCCCTAAAGGGGCCAACACCAGGGAGTCTGAAGGAGGTGCCCAATGAGAGAGCTGGAGGAGAGGGAAATGGGGGAAGTTTCAAAAGGCTGACGGAGAAGGAGATACAAGAGAAAAGGGCGAAGGGGTTGTGTTTTAGATGTGATGAGAAGTACATGCCAGGGCATAGGTGTAAGGGCCGAACTCTTCAGGTTCTCTTCGTCTGTGATGACGGAGAAGCTGAAGAGGGAGGTGGAAGCGGGTTAGATATGGAGGAAGAGGAGAAGTTGCATCTGGATGTGTCAGAAGTCTCCCTAAACTCAGTAGTGAGATTCACCTTGAATCACTCTATGAAGGTGAAGGGAGAGAGCAGATAGGGAGGTGGTAGTGTTGATAGATAGTGGGGCAACCCACAATTTCATCCTCACCCAGATTGTTGATCTATTGGGGGTGAAATTAGTGGATATAGGTGGCTACAGGTTGATGATGGGCACGAGAAAGGTAGAAATGGGTAGAGGAGTTTGTAGGGGAGTAGTGTTGACCATTCAGGGGATATAGGTGAGGGAGGATTTTCTTCCCTTGGAGTTGGGGAGTACGGATGTCATCTTATAGATGAAATGACTGCAAACCTTGGGGGAGGCTAAGGCAAATTAGGGAGCACTGAGGATGAAATTGGTGGTGGGGGAAGGAGAATTATAATCTTGGGCGATGCAGGGATATTTAGGGCTGGAGTATCTCTTAGTCCATGATCATAACCATACAGGAGGTGGGAGGTGGGAGGTGGGTGGAATTGTCATGCTTGGAGAGGGTTAGTGTGGGAGAAGAGGCAGACATTCCTCTTACAATGAAACCAATCATATAGCAGTTCAATAAGGTGTTCCAGCCACCTCAAGGGTTACCACCTCTCAGAGAGCAGGAACATGCAATCCTTTTAAAGGAGGGGGTGTCACTGATTAGTGTACGACCCTATCGCTACCCCCAAATTCATAAGGATGAAATTGAGAAGCTGAAGGGAGATGTTGGAGGCTAGGATCATCAGACCAAGTGTGAATCCTTTCTCTAGTCCAGTCTTACTAGTCAAAAAGAAGAATGAGAGCTGGAGGTTTTTTGTTGAGTACAGGGCATTGAATAAGTAGATAATACCAGATAAATTCCCCATTCCTATAATTGATGAGCTCTTGGATGAACTATATAAAGCAGTGATATTCTCCAAACTGTATTTGAAGTTTGGATACCTTCAGATCCGAATAAGGGAGGTAGATATCTCAAAGACAACTTTCAGGACACACGAAGGGCATTATGAGTTTCTGGTTATGCCGTTTGGGCTTACCAACGCCTTTGCTACTTTCTAGTCGTTGATGAATAGGGTGTTAAGGCAGTACATCCCAATGTTTAAAATTGCGTATTCGGGTATTGAGGCATTTTTCATTCGTGACGTGAGGTGTAAGCCTCAAGGCGTTTTGAGGCGTAAGCCTCAAATCAAAAGATTGCGTAAACATAAAATGATAAATTTTTTATATACTAATGAGTGAATAATATAAAACATAAAAAAAGCATAAGATAGGAAGTGATATCAAAATATCCCAATAATAAAACAACATGAAATATAGTTCAACTCAAAATTCTATCTTTCCCAAATCTCAGTATTCTTTTCATTAAAATATAATTTCAATTTTCAAAAATAAATAGCAATGACATATCACATAAGAACTCATAAGTCATCAGCACTGTCATCACTAAGGGGTTCTTCATTTGAATCATCATTATGATGAACTGCTTTCTACCCTTCCTCCTCTCCTATAGTGTCCAATGTCGGGCATTTACTTCAAGATTTATGTAAGTTTTAATATATATAGCGTGAGGCGAGGCGGGCCTCAACCAAGTTGAGGCGCAAGCCTCATAAAAAAAATTGAGGCGTTTTTTACTGGAATTGCGCAAAGGCGGGCCTCAAGGCGAGCCTCATATTGCGCAATTTTAAACCATGGTACATCCATAAGTTTGTTATAGTATTTTCTTATGACATCTTGGTGTACAACAAAACTTTGGATAAACATCTGAAGCATTTGAAGTTGGTCTTGCAAGTTCTACTGGAACATCAGTTGAGGGTCATCCTGAAGAAGTGTTGTTTTGCCCAGATCAGTGTGAAGTACTTGGGTAATATCGTGTCCAAGGAAGGGGTGGCAGCCGATCAGTCAAGATTGAGGCTATGTTGAGACCTAAGAATCTGAAGGAGTTAAGAGGATTCTTAGGATTGATGGATTACTATAGGAGATTTGTAAAAGGGGACAGCACTATCGCATGGCCACTTATAGAGAAGTTAAAGAAAGATGGATTCTTATGGGGAGAGGCAATCACAACAGCATTTGAGATACTAAAGAAAGCTATGACTACTGTACTAGTCTTAGCTTTACCAGACTTTACCCAGACCTTCATAGTGGAGACAGATGCTTCAGGATACGAATTGGAGGTAGTACTCATGCAGAATCGTCGACCCATTGCCTACTTCAGCTAGGTGTTGACAGCCCGAGCCAGGCTGAAATCAGTCTATGAGAGGTAGTTGATGACCATCGTCTTAGCCATCCAGAAGTGGCGACCCTACCTGTTAGGTAGATATTTCATTGTCAGAACAGACCAGAGGAGCCTGAAGTACTTGTTGGAGCAACGGATGGTGACTAAAGAGCAGCAGAGGTGGCTGTCCAAATTGTTGTTATATGATTTCAAAATACAGTACAGACTAGGATGGGAGAACAAGGCAGCAGATGCCTTGTCTGAATGTATGGGGGAGCTGTTGATAGTGGAAGTATCTATTCCTTTGATGCTGGATTGGGAGGCCATTAGGGAGGAGAGCATTAGGGATGAGGAGTTGGGAAAGATCAGAACATATTTACTGAGGGAAGGGGGTAGCCATCTAGGGTACTCATTCGAGAGGGACAGACTGCTGTATCAGGGGAGGTTCGTGATGCCCCAGACCTCAATCTACATTCCAAACTTACTCCAAAAGTTTCATGGAAGCACTATTGGGGGTCATTCAGAGGTACAAAAGACATACAGGAGGTTAGCTTTGGAGCTTTACTATAAGGGGATGCTTAGAGATGTAGAGGAAATGGTGGCCAGGTGTGAGATATTTCAGAGGAACTAATACCTGACTATGTCGCCACGAGGACTACTATAACGGTTGGCTTTACCGAGACGAGTGTGAGAGGAGATATTCATGGACTTCATAAATGTGCTGCCTCGTTCAGAGGGTTTCACGGTGATTCTGGTGGTGGTGGACAGGTTAAGCAAGTATGCTCATTTCATTCCCCTCCGACATTCATATACCGCGGTGACAGTGGCTTCAACTTTCATCAAAGATGTGGTCAAATTGCTTGGCGTGCCAGAGGCGATAGTATCAAATAGAGCGCCACAACAAAGCACATATGATTCTTATTTGAAATGACGGTTCATCTTCCTTTCCAAATCTTATGTCATTGGCTGAGGGTTGAAGGAATTCAAAATCATATGTGTAGGTTGTACTTCATGAACCCATTTAAGAATCTTTTATTTCCTTGAAGCAAATTTTAAAGTTGCTTGAGTTATGCAAATGACCTTTTCAGGAGCCAAACAATTTTACAAAAGCTTTCCATACATGTGCTTTGTTGTAGCGCTCTTTCTAAGTCCTAGATAGAGGCTCACTAATGATCTAGAAAGGATTATGGATTAGTGTTAACCTATCTTAGAGCCAAGATCTAAATTCTCTTACATACAACAATAAGGGATGTTCAAGTTATATAATATATATACAGTTGTATCTTGCAAAGAGTAATTAGACAGCTTTCAGACATTCACCATCACTCTTATAGATATTTAGATTCTTGCTAACATTCAAGAAACACTACAATTCACCTGTAAATAAGAGTAGGGAATTTGTAGTGCAGACAACTAGCTTTTGGGCAAGATCATATTGAACAAATCAATTAACTTACATACAACAATAGGGGATTCGTAGCAAACTATATAGCTTAATTATAAGCAAGAGCACAATTCCCTAGTGTCCATTAAATAGACATCCCTTATGAACTATACTAAATGACAACTCGAATAAGGCAAAATCAGCTAAATAATCTCTCTTATGCAACAACTGAAATCTAATATACTTTTAAGCCACCGGATCTGCAACCCACTTGTGCAGCGGACAGAAGTCGATATATCTATAATATCTCCAATTTACATGCTGAAAACACATCCCACATGTGCTCCAACCATTATTTTGACCTCTTAAATTCAGGATTTGAGATTGCTACACGAGTCAAAGATTCAAGTTTTTTCCTCTTCCTTGAAAGGATTATAGTTGACATGACTTGGATTAATAAACGTACGTCTAATCACAAATCTACTGTAGCCCTTCAAAGGTTCTCTAATTGAAACTCATCATAAAACATAAAGTTTTCGGTTTTAACATTTGCATAATCGTCAATTGTTAAACATGATGCTCTGTTAGTGGACAAACAGAGTTGACAAGGTTCAAATAACTAATTATCTATATCCTCGATGATGACCGTGTTGATAGAAAATCTCAAATGGAGGGGACCCTAACTTTTAAGATCCTCTCAAATTCCTACAAAAATACAGACATTTAAAGTGACTTTATTGTCACATTGATGATAGCCGCGTTGAATGTAAATTTCAAATGAATGAGTCAATTCTTAAAGCCTATTAAAAATTTCAAAATCTAATATCTATTAAATTCTAAACAGTGTAATATAAATTTAATCAACAAAAATTTTAAAATTATAAACCATCCACTTCTCGCAACTATTTGTTAGGGGTAATAAATTTGAAAATTACTTCAACTCACAAAGAGCAAATGTCATATCGGATGTATTACTAAGATTCATTCTCAAATAATCTCTCACTAATAGGGATGTGACACATGCCATCTAATTGGGTGATTTTGCTGTAAAATGATCCCACTATATTACAATCACGTCCAAAGCCAATATGTTCCCTAATGGTTTCAAGTCCTTAAGTAATGGATCATAAGATGTACTCGATGGGCACAAAACCCTTTTGCAAGCTTAGGTAGACTCAAATGTATTTTATTAGAAAAACATCCACCCCAAGTCTATATTGTATCCTTGGACGAATAATTCATGGTTGCCGATAAGGTTCCTTCTATTAGGTTGGATTGACTACCTCCTCTGACTAAGTAGAACGTAGACCATGACAGTCCTGGATGACAAAACTATGGGATCTTGATCGGGCCCGTCTTCATTCCCCCATCGCCCATTTTAAGTTTACTGTGATAAATTTCAAATCTTAAACTCCAAAATTCAAAACCAAATTCAAATCCTAAAATAATTGGCTAGTATATACTAGATATTTAATGTCTATCTTATGACTATCCTGAATTGAAAGTTCTCTCTCGTTATCGGGAGAGGTAACTAACCATAGGGGCTTGTGCCTATAAAAACTCGAACTCATATCACCCCCATGGAAAACCAGAATGCAGATTATAAAGTCCTCACAAAATGAGGGTGAAATCTCTGAGTAACTTCTTATCTAAAATTCAATCTGCCTTCTGAAAATCTACCCCATAACCTAAATCCATTAAAACTCTCCCCGTCAATAGAAAGAATGGAGCGGAGAGGCCGGTGCGTGAATTTTTTAAGCCCACACTGACTATCATAATTTTCTTGCTTTTGTTAACTAGGGCATCAGGTAGGAATGGAAGAGAGAATATGGCATGGTCAATGGTTTAGGAAAAGGAGAAAGGGTGATGCGAGCATGGTAAGGTTCTTGATGCATGAGTGAAAATCAAGAGTGGAGGGATACAAGTACGAGGAGCAGCATTTATGGAGAGATTTGCGGATACGAACAATTTCTCATTTCACATGCATCTCGAACTTTGTGTCATCACCTTGCCCATAGGCAAATCCTACATTTTTCTTTCGTGCAGCAAATAGACCAATATTGATCTCTTTTTAAGTTAATTTCGACATTTCGAACGCATGGATAGTGTTTGTTTTGTAAATGAATGATGTTTGAGTGACCTTGATTTAGGTTGAGGTGTTTATATTATTATATTGTTTTGTTTATTTGCAGATTAGTTATCGTTCATTTTGTCATGCCCATGTTTAGAATCAAATTTTTTTTTATTCTTTTTCTAATGTTTTTTTTTTTTCCATAGGTTTGGTTTTTAGTGAATATCTATGGAGTGGGCAGGTTCCTTCTATAAAGGAGGTCAACGATGAAGAACCGTTCTTTATTAATCTACCATATATCAAGATAAATACGCATGAAGTAAGGAGGCTGATACCATTTTTTTTTTTTTAATGTTGACCTCTAATATGCTTTCAATATGTGTTTCAAAGTTTTTGTATGCAAGCTTTCACCTGATGTTTTTAGGGTTTTGAATTGTTTAACTCTGTTGCCTTTCTATGATATAGTGAGTCATAACTGAACACCTCTTATTCACTTTTGATAATGAACGTCTGTATCCTATTGGTTGCCATGAAGAGACTAAGCTAATGGTGATCTAATTTTTGGGTGTCTTTAAAACGATCATTCGAGGAGTGAGGATTGTTGACCTGCCGTATAAAACAAAAAAAATTAACTCACCTGTTCGGCGCCGAACTCCGCACGACCTCGGAACTTAGTTCGTTAAAACTCCCTCGCCGAATAAGAAAAGCGAGAGGAGGCCGAGGCCGAATTTTCGGAGCCCACAAGGATAACTAAATTTGATTTTTACAAACAATCCTTCGTCGTGTTGGTTTATGTCCTTTCTTGTAATTCATAGGAGGCTTGGACTTACAATCTTAAGTAGTCTTTAACTGAAGATATCAACCACTATTTGGGTGTTTTTAGGGTTTTGAATGTTTGTGCCATGGTAATGGAAGATAAAGACTTTCGATGTCTTTTTATAGCTTACAGGTGCTTTCCAACATAGGGCAGTAAAAAAAGTTGATTTCAAATACTAAATCTATGATTTTGATTTTAACTAAGATAAAGAAGAGTGAGGGGTATTTTTCCATGATGGCTAATGTGGTAGTCAAAAAGGTGGTCAGCATATGTGGGGTGATTAAAATGAGTGATTGGGCTAGGCTAAGGCAAGAAAAGGCTTGGCTAGCTCAACCCTCATATTTATACAACTTACACGGACATGATACACCACATGACACACAACACCACATGACACGCAACATAAGGCACAATATATAGAGTGATAAAAAACAGAAAGGCCCAAAATGCATGACAACAAGAAGATTGGAAACACTATGGTTGAACTAAATTAAATTTTTTAAGTATAACTAGATGGTCGATCTAAACTCAAAATATCAAGGTAACTCAAAAATACATCAAGAATCATCTTTCCCGACTTTGAAAATTTTGACTCCAACGAACAAAACTCTACAACATACAAAAAAGATGAGGGCAAGCTGCTTTAGCTACTCTACTCATCCATGGAAGGAACGAGATTTGCTCCACTTAGTAATGAAATGATGGTTTGCCACTGATCATGTGACCTTGGATGTTAACTCAATAATGGTTGCATCATAAGCAAAAGTTGTATTTACGAGTACTACTTGCATGTCAATGCTATCTGTAGAGGGGGAAAAAATATCTCTGAGTTGCCCACCATACAATGTTTAATTCAACACATTGAACGCTAGAAAAATTCCAGCATCCATAAAAAGATCACTCACATAAGCATTATTATTATTATTATTCACAACTCTATAATGTTCAAATTTCTTGATGATTAATTTATTAAGAGTTTTAGTTGAAAATCTCTGAAGTTTAGTTTTAACTAGATCAAAATCTCCCTCATTAAATTTTGTTTATTAGCTAAATACATTAACATCAGTTTCATACTTATTATAGCTCATTGTAAGTTAATGCAAATTGTTTGTTTATAAATCATTCATACATTGTGCAAAATAGGATGAAAGTGCACAGATCCTCTATGAACATGCAAACTCATCTCTATTCAAAGTTAAAGCTTTAGTAATTAAAAAATAAATAAAAGGCGATGTGCAAATTGTTTGAAATTTCATGAATTGAAATAATGAATGCCATTTTGTGATTAGGAGTTATTTTCATAAATATTAATTTATTTCTTAGATCAATATAAGGCAATCAAAGTCAAAATTTACATTCGAAGATGGAGGTACTAATTCAATGAAGGTCCTAAGAGAACTGGATCCACAAATTCATCACGATAAATTTCTTGGAACTCAATCAAGGAATGACTGATTTTCAATTGGAAAGGAGACTTAACTTGAGAAAGAAGAAAATAATCAACATGGGAAAGAAGAGAAGTGATGTAGGATGAATTTTGGAGCTAATATATATTTCATGATTTATATTCTTGTACATAAAACTGATTATGTTGTTCTTATGAAAGTCTATGTATGAGTATTTTTATGTAAGGCAAGGTGTAATATTGTTATTTTCATGTGTTTGCGTCCTTGAATGTTTTTTGGGTTATCTTGGGTTCTGGTTCATGCTATATTTTGGACCTATTATGTTAGTTCATTTCTTATATTATGCATTATGTTGGTCCATTATGTTAAAGCTTGGTGGTGGGTATACAAATAGTGGTAGGGTTGTAGATGGTTGTATCCATAAGGCTGGTGATAAGTTATAATTTGGTGTTAGGCACACATATAATAGTTAGTTTGAGTATTTAGTTTAGTGACTTTGATATCTCCCTCTTATTCTTTTAAATATGGAGCTTTTGTAGTGTTAAGGACTTGATTTTGGATGATAATGTTAAATAAGAATTGCTTCTTGTGCTTTTTTGCTTTTCTTGTGTATTTTTCACAAGATTTTTTTAGTGTGTAAGTTCACAACCCTTTGAAATTGACTTCTAAGAAAGGAATGATATCCTTGTGATGGCGGACTATTCGTAGGTGTTGACTTAAACTTACCCTTTCTTCGGTAGTGGTTGCCATAAATGCATCACATGTTATCATCCATAGCTTTTTTTTAGAATGTTTGTTCACCATGATAGATAAACATATGTTATTATGAGAAATAAAAAAAAGTTAAAGATATCCTATCCTAATTTTCATCGGGATGTTTTTGAAATATTAAAATGTATTAATTTGTATATAGCATCCAATGTTTAAAATTGCGTATTCGGGTATTGAGGCGTTTTTCATTCGTGAGGCGAGGCGTAAGCCTCAAGGCGTTTTGAGGCGTAAGCCTCAAAATCAAAAGATTGCGTAAACATAAAAAAGATAATTTTTTTATATACTAATGAGCTTAAGATTATTAATATTAGGATGTCGAAAGTCGGACGTCGATGTCGTTTATCACTCATCGAAATAGGAGATGAAAATACCTTCACTGCCGAGGAGAAATGAAAATGAAAATATTAGATGGATGAGGTATTAAGTGCGAGCGATTAATTTGGTGTTGTGAATAAGAAATAATAAATTTAGTTTTTATATTTTAAATAATTAAAAATTTTAAATACAAGAAATTATATTTAAAAAAATTCATAAAATATTTAAGATGCTTGTGTCGGACACACATATCCAATTTGTATAGTATATTATTTTAATTAGACACATTTTCGGCGTGTCCGACATGTGTCAGAGAAGTGTCGGACGTGTGTCGTGTCGAATACATGTCGGACACTGCACACCTCTTTGAGGAGAAGTGTTGGTGCATCATAGGAATGTTTGTTTGTCATGATTTTTGAATATTTTTGTAAATCCAAAATGCATAATTTTGTCATTTAAATATAATAGAAATGCCAAGTGTCATTATTTATTAAGACCATCATGATCAAAATCATGTCAGAATATCTTGAACTAATATTTTTTTCATATTTTATGCTTGTGATCAATTATCAAGGTAGCCCGTGTCAATTCAATAAGGCCTTTACATTCAGTCGGCAATTCTGAGAGGCTACAATAATTTTTTAGAAATTGAATATATTATAGTTGTAAGGCCCCCATCAATTATAGTCAATTTTTTAATGACCAACTAGCTACAACTAACCGATCAATGAATTATCCTTTGAAAAAATATCAGCATATAACTTCAAAGATAACTTGATAAAAACGAAAAAATAGTTTTGAAGAACCCAAATAGTTCTTCTTTACAGTGTCTTGCTTGAATGCTGGTTAACCTTGGAGAGTGTTGATATATTATATTTTTATATATGCCTCATAAAAAACAAGATTTATAATATTCTATCCACTTGTGCTTCTATATTAGAAATAATATTATCAAATTCATAAGATTGTGAATCTGGACCATCATATCCTCAATAGTAGGATGATCATAAGGAACTAATAAATTTCTGGATCTGGATCTTGCTTGTAGATGAGGCAACCACTTCCTTTGGGTTAAGGCCAACCAAGGAAGGCTAAGATTCCATGCCAAAATCTAAATTTGATTCCAAGTTTTGGGTGAAAATCAAACCATACATAGTAGGAAATATGATTGCAATGTTTGAAGGTAAGTTTTGTCTATTTGTGTGCTCCCTTATTTCCTGAGTGCTAAGATCAATAAAAGATGATTTTCTCAATTTCAGGCGAGCCTTAAAATATTATGTGAAGTTGTGAAACTAATCCCAATCTCTTTAACTAAAGGCATAATAAAATCTACTTCAACAAGGATCTTAGTAATTAACTGCTTAGAGAACTTAGCAGTAGTAGCAATCACTTGTAATGATTATTCAAAAATAAATCCAAGAGAACATTCCAGGTTAACCTAATTCCTCCGCTCAGTTTATATTTTTCAGCAAGGCAGTACGAACTCAACCTTCCAACCTTCACGATAAACCTAATCTTATTTTTTTCAGATGATGAGATCTCTGAATTGGCACTCCTTTCTTTACTTCACTATTGTTGGTAAGTTTTCTTTTCATCATCCTTTGCTTGAGATTTTCATATATGTATGCTTGATTTGCAATTGATTGAAGATTTTCTGCTGAGATATTTGATCGTCATCATGTTATTATCAAATTATTCCCATTAGCAAATTAAGAAGAAAAAAAAATAATGATTGTCATGGGGAAAGAAAAACTAGAGGCAACCCAAATTTGCAAGGGCATCACCCTTGATGAAAGGTAGCTAAGGTTGAGTGGACTATATGTGCAATGGGAGAATGGGATGCCAAAGCCATGAGGTATCAAATCCAAAGAACAAAAGCATGAATGCGAGGATCCAAGCATGGGATAATGTCTATTACGGGTTCGAGGATCACAAGCGAGAGCGATTTCGAGTAGAAAGAGTGATGAGCGTAGGCATGTTGACCTGTAACTGACACCCAAAAATAATAAT